AGCGGCATTAAAAATCCGAATTCTGGGTGCGAGGTTGCCTTTTTTTGGTGGGGGGGGGGGGGCAGCCTTGACAGAGTTGAAACAAACAACCGGGAAAGAGTGTTCTGCGCTCCAAAATGCACGTTCTTTTTCATTTTCGGCGTCTTTAACGGAGGACCTCGAGCGGTGTCGCGTACAACTGGGGCAAAATCCAAGGGGAGCTTTCGCTGTCATGAGTAAGGCCATCACTCATGGCTACAAATATGGCAAATTTGGTCTATCTTGCCATAAACTCCGCCCAAGCTTGGAGTTACCACCAGGTTAGGTGGTAACTTCTGGCGGTGAGGGCGTTACCACCAGGGGAGGCCCGATCAGTTGCAGCAGTCATTAAAGTATCTGTCAGTGTCTTAGAGTTGACTTTGGGTGTGAAGCAACACCCTACGAGGAGCAATTCTTCACTCCTTTTCCCTACATCTGGTGGGAATTTTTCACTCCTACCTGATATTGGCTTACTATTCTTACCAAACCCATATTTCCCTTTCAAAGGTTTTGAGGTGTCATCCAAAACCGAGCTCACTTGAAACCATCAAGTATAAACAAGGCTACGCAGAACCTGGACACCTATGACCATACCCTGTCTCACCTACATCTGAGTAACGCCTATGTATGCACAGAGCAAGGGCACCAGGTACCTCCAAGCCCAAGAGACTGAGCGACTCCAGCCGCTTGCATGTATCAGGTTAGGTTTGTTTACAAAATGCATCACAATCTTCAGCTGTGTGCCAGATGCAAGGTTTTCGCGCATCCCCAGTCTGAATATCACAGTTTGAGTACCCATTTTCGCAGATTTTCATTCACGTTAGTTTGTTAAAAACTTTGACCAAACAACTCTGAGTCACTATATTTATTTCGGTACCTTTGTTTTTCTTGGTCTCATACGAGTGTGATACAAATTCATTTTTCCTTCCCCTCCGATCATTTTTAAAGACACCATCTATGACATCTATGACTTACATACTGAGCTGGTGACTCTTTAACCCAACATGCCGGTACTTCAAATCACACCACTTTCTATTATCTAGTTGCAATTTCTTTTTCGATTCCGTGGCACGCATGACATTTGGGGCCTCCATTGTGTTCGCTTTGCCCCTCTATCAGGAGAGGTAACTGGCGCGTAAGGCGCCAGAAGCAAACAAGAAAAGGGCTCTTCATCGTCTCAACCAACAAACAGTCGTGAGGCTCTTGCGCTGTTTAGAGGCGGTTGTATTGCAACCGTCCGTCCATTCCGAGTATCGTTGACTGTTTCAGAATGGCCTCATATGTTCCCTGGCCCGTGATCGGTTCCGCATCACCAAGCCTTCTAAACACGAATGTGTCACGTTTATTTGACAGTCTCGTGCTCCGGCATCCGGGATGTCTTCCGCGGGCGGATGGAGCCAACGTTCAGTTCATCCCGCGGCACACTCGGAACTTACGGACATCTCGACCTCATCGACGCCGAAGGACGCCATCTCAGATCGCTTAGAAAAAAAGACAGTGAAGCGTTCGAGTATCGGCGTGTATTGCATTCAGACCACACCGTTTTCTAAAAATAATGTTTCTGTCACAGGCGTCACATGCACCACTTGAGTACACTTAGCAACTGGCTCGCACCGTCTTTCGCACATGCACGAAACAAAAAGCTGAGCTGTTTAAGGCGCGGATGCAATTGTCAATCATCTCCGGTTTCTGGTTGCAGCAGGGGCGGGATAGGCCGGGCGAACCACTGGCTATCGAATTTTAAATTTGTACCCTCTTCTTCTAAACACATTTCCTTCTGCACCTTTAATTTATATATATATATATATATATATATATATATATATATATATATATATATATATCTTGAATTCCTTATAACGCAGGGATGATATCATCGGAGGAGAGTTTCGTACGGTTGCGTCCTCACCGTTGCGACTTAATACCACATAACTTGAATCGCGATGACCGAATACTTAGTTCATGACACTGGATGGTTTCTGAATGACCTCAGTCCCCAACAGGAATCCTGGAATCCAGGAATCCCCAACAGTCCCCAACAGAAGTCCCCAAATGACCTCAGTCCCCATTCACCAGAAAGTCACTAAAGCCGCTGGAGGCAGTTAAAATAGTTGTTTGGGAATCTGATCGCCAACCCAAGCCATATTTCTGGAGGCTTCTCTCACGACCAGGGTCATGATGCACCCTGAATGACGACAGCTCGCACTGTACTCTTCGGGACTGGCATGTGCTCAACCGGTAGCGGTTCAAGGGGATCATTCCATGAAGTGAAATTTGAAGCTAGCCTCGAGGTCGCTGATGGCGGCAATCAAGTCCGCGGAAACGTTTGGCAGGCCTGCGTCGCTGCTGACGTGCTCCCAAAATTAAAAAAGACAGTCAGTTTTCGTGGCTACGCTCCAAGGGGAACAAAATCCAACGGCTCGTTGAGCTTATCGGCACGTTTCCGTCGCCGCGCTGGCGTCGTTTGCGCGCCCCACGAGCGACAGTTGGTGGTTTGCACGCCCCACGAGCGACACCTGGTGGTTTGCGGGCAAAACCCTTGATTCGGCCCTGCGACTAAGAACAAATACTCTTGCAGCTGAGTTGACATTGCGGACGGCACCGTCACCGACGAAAGCCATCGGGCGGGTGGAGGCCGCGTTTAAACTTTGGTTAAAACAAGCTCAAGAGGGGTTAGCGTCTTTGTGCCATTCTTGACGATAAGGTTTTTGCAATTTGGGCCAATTGCAAACCAGTACGGTTGCAGACAGCGCTGCTATTTCCGTTAAAACTCATATTGGAATACTTTTATGCGCGCCATTTTGAGCCAAGGCCTTGTCGGAACTGGAAAGTACCTCTGCAGTATGAGTACATATCTTTGTTTATTTGTAAGTCGTATCTACTAGTACATGATCAGATTTATGCACCATAAATCGAGTGTATGATTCCCTTTAGAGTGGCACGATCATGTGTGCCAAAAAACGTAACAACTATATACCTGAGCCTAATGACGTCATATCCTGCATGCTGAACCTTGTATAAGGTCGATCATATCTCAGTTGAAATTATAGTCACAGGACCGGGGAACGACCTGGCTTAGATGGCATCCCCCGCTCGACTAGCAGCTTCTCTAGTCGAGTCATTCAAAGGGCCCCACTAACAAAAGTCACGCGCAGAGATTGGTGGGATAGATATGGCGATCGACAAAGCGTTGCGTTTCAGCGAGAGGTCGTGGACCATACGTCATTTCTATATCTCCTCAAAATGACTTGCAATCACAAATTGAAGCACGCGATGACATGGGTACTACGCGTCGCAATGTCCAGACTGGAAGGCCAGCGAGGGATAAGAGGCAGGAATAAGCCTTTCTGAGAACACGTACACACACAAAGACACATACATGCAGGCACAAACACAGGACGCGTACGTTACGAGCTTGCAACTACAACATATACTAAAATCATCGACACACACGTTACGAGCTTACAAGCACGACATATACTAAAACCACAACAGTTATCAACATCTAACCGTTCAGTTATAAATCTATCATGGTACAAAGCTACAGAAATACTGAACATGCGTGAAAATAAGCATTTGTTCCAACAACAGTAACCAGAGTCTCTTCACAGACGCACGGCACATTTCAGCAGAGGTGTAGTTTCCTATTCAGTTGGGGAAGGGGGCGTTAGCCTCCGGGACCGGGGCTCCGGCTTCCCCAACTTTGACAAAGAAGTGGGCCGAATCCGGGGAAGAAACCCGGCTGTGGGCGAATTTTGGGGGTATGCTGCGTTATTTCTCACTGCCCAGCCCCCAACCCCAACTCATCTTGTGAAACTACGCCCCGCATCTCAGTGTGGTCCTCGGCAACGTAAAGCAGTAGCAACTCTGGCCTGTCTATTAAGGCAACAGCGACACTGGCTCGACAGTCACAACAAAAAACTGGGCATCCTTGTCGGCTCGAACAGCTGTTCGCCGTGTCCTCACGAGAGTCGGTCACCAACGCAAAGCGCGCTGAATTTCCGTCTACATCGACGAAAGCCGACTCTGCTGTCCACGATGCGGTGAAAGGTGGGCACCGCTCGTGAAACAGCCAGGACGGAAGGAGTTTGTCAAAGTGCTTAGGATCCGGAGCGCATGAGGTAGAAACATTCGCATCGACGTCCTGACCTTGTCTCAATCAGTCTCAATCAGCCAGGTCAGCCTGATGTCTCCTCGCTGGCGCGGTAGCACAGCTGAGACACGCGGAATGTCGGCTGGGATAACGAGACAACCCTGGGCTGACCGATGTTGATGATGAGGGAGGTGACTAGGAGGGGAACATCGGAGAAAGCTGATGTCAGACAGGAGATTATCCGGAGAGCTGGTGTCAGACGGTAGATTGCCCGGAAAGCTGGTGTCAGGTTTTCGATTTTCCGGAAAGCTGGACAGCTGGAGTCAAGAGGGGGATTATCCTAAGAGCCGTTGTCAGGCGGGAGATTGTCCGGAGAGCCGGGGGTGTTGACAAGCCAGAATGCTGAATAGGTTCCACAGGTTGCGGAAATCCAGAAAAAAATGGCTGTGAAATGCCTCTATCGTGACATCCTTTAAAAGTTCGGGTGCGTTACATATCATAATACGGAAATATGCACGAAAATCAATTTGCGTAAGAAACCACCTAATGAAAGAATCTCATACCACCGGTAAGATTACCGGAACTCAGTCGTAAGAAATGGAATGTACTAGACACGTCTCGTGTTCGTGAGGTCACATCTACGCTATTCTGCCGCATGCAGCGCGGTGTCAAAGGACTTCCGGGCGTCCTGAATGTCGTACCACCGTCTAGAACACCGTAGCACACCTGTTTGCTACCTACAGCGATCTGAAAAGGCAACAGCTCACAACCAGCAGAGGCCCTGCACAAGGCATAAAACAATCTCGTTACATGCGGCCATGAACGCTTTGCAGTTATTAGCCACGACGGAGACTACCTGTCAACACGCCCAACGCCCACCGTCCGGACTACGTGACTTGGCCATCCTCTCCGGCGCCTTCTCAGCCACTGTGACGCCATGTGGAAGTTCCAAATGCCCTGGAGGCTCGCCTCGTTCTCTGCGCTTTTGGGCTCCAGTCACGGAGCCTGATGGCGGAGCAAAGTTCGGGGTTCACTCCAGTCACGGAGCCTGATGGCGGAGCAAAGTTCGGGGTTCACTTCAGTCACGGAGCCTGATGGCGGAGCAAAGTTCGGGGTTCACTTCAGTCACGGAGCCCGTGGCGGAGCAAAGTTCGGGGCTCACTCCAGTCGCGTAGCTTGACGGTGGGGCTAAGCTCATGGTTCACCTCAGTCACGAAGCTCGACGGTGAGGATGGGGTTCACCCGGTCAGCTGCGCAACTCAGAGGAGTTGAGCCGACCCGCTGAAGAACTCCCAGCCCGCGCGATCCCTGACGTCAGGAGTTCTCGCGCTCACGTCCGGATTAACGTCAGAGACAGGCGCGCTCCATGTCCACGTGCTGCGCGAGGCACGCTCACATCAAGCGCGACATTAAGCATCGCCGGTATACATCCACACTGCCACGAGGCGGCCAGCAGACGTCAGTGCTAGCACATGTCCGGACTGGTTTCTGATTCCCATGGGGTGCCGGTGCCAAACACATGCCCGCCGAGGCAGGCAGCAGCAGGCGGCCGGGACACCCGCAGGTTACCAGCAGGTGTCCGGGCCATTCCACCACGCGTTGATGTCGGGGTGGGTGCTGCGCGGCGCGCTGGCGTCGTGCAGCCGCTCACAGAGTTTGCACCAGCTGTCGTGGACCGCTCCCCGCACACGGTACTCTCCGCGCCAGGCCGTGTACGCGTCCAGCGCCGCCGGGTGCGCCGTCAAGTAGCGCAGGTAGCTGGCCAGCTCTCGCGCGCTCTCGAAGTCGTCCACGTGGATGAACGAGTGCGGCGGTGCGACGGCGGCGTAGTCTTCGCGCCGCGCGCCGTACACGACCGGCACGAGGCTGCTGTTGAGCGCCAGGAAGAACTTCTCGGTGATGTAGTCGCGGCAGCGCGAGTTCTCGAGCGAGAGGTAGAAGTGGTAGTTTTCGGCCAGGTGGCGGTAGCAAGTGCGCGGATCGGGCAGGGTGAAGAGTCCGCCAGGCGGGGAACACTTCAGCGGGCCACAGCGCCCGAACACGTCCACCGCGATGTAGCTGCGCAGCTCCTGAGCGCGGAAGGGGGGGATCATTAGTCGCGAGGGAGGCGGCAGGGTGTGGGCGGCGACAGACGGTCGAGGGAGTGGAGACACCCGGAGCTCGCAGTCGCTGGAGCATTACAACGTTGGACGTACAACGAGCGTCACAACGTTACAACGCAGAACGTTGCCTGTATACCGTCCAGGTCTCGCAACATCGGTTTTCATGCTGAACGCTGGACGAGTGCCGACGGCCATGTTCGTCCGGTGTCGAGCGGAATTGTGAGGTTTCCGAAAACCTGCTCTGTAAACTTGGAGCATACTGCAAACGCGTCACGGTAACCAGCGCGACAATAGCAAGGAGGAAGATTGGGACAGCTTGCGCTCTTGATTTTGACCGAGTTGAGCTAAGATTCATTCCTTTAAACGTTCGAGCATGATGATCTTGCGCATAGAGGGAAAACGCCCAAACAAAATAAAAACGCACTGAAGCAAGTCACATCCACAGCACTTTGCCAACGCCTCGCGATTTCAGACGCACCAACCTCGACAAACTCCTCGCGCTTGCCGGGCGTCCTGCAGTGGGAGACCACCCACGGCAGGCGGCCCTTCCTCCGCGCGAGCGCGGCCCAGGGCGGCGTGGGCCGGCCGGTGGCGACCTGGGCCGGCCGCCGCTCGCTCTCCGGCAGTCGCTCCACCACGAAGTACGGCTGGCGTATGTCCGAGTCCCGCCTGTGGGGCGACGCGTCAGCTGCTGCCGCATCGGATGCGATGCGGATGCGTCGCTTCCGCACCGGATGCGGATGCGGAGGCGATGCATCCACATCCGGCGAGGATGTGGATGCATCGCATCTTCATCCGCGCCGGATACGGGCGCGCGCCGGAGCGATACGACCTTCGCCGTTAGGTTGGGCGGGGCCAATGCGGATTAGACGATGGTCCCCTGGGCTTTCAGGGTCCAGTCTTCAGGATGGTGAAACGTGTGGTGCCATGGCGTGGTGCGATTACTTCCACCATCACTAGCACTGGTATCGGAAGTTCACCACAGGAGAGGAAGGAGATAACACGGTCCCCAAATTTTGACTGAGCTAGCATTGCGTCTTCGGCGTCACGTGGAAATGAGCGACTTTTGGAAAAAGAACTGCCTGATCCCTCCCGAACATATTTTGACCCAGACAGAGCAGCTCGCCGGGGATATCACGCGCCAACACAAAAGTCGCGTGAGCTAGCACAGGAGAGTAGCCATATTAGTGTTCAGCCTGCAAATACGGCATGTGGCAATTGGCAATGAATAAATGTAGTGACGGAAGCCTTTTAATACTGAGCCTTGCAACACCATGCAAATATTTACTTAAATCCAGACGGGACCTGAAACGCACGTGGAAGATCATGACGATTGTGCAGCAAAGCGTACCTTTCAAAACCGTAGAGATGTGTCTACTATCAAAACCTACAATACCGAATGTGTTGTGTACGACACGTACGTGTTGTAGACGTGTTGTGTGCTTCACAACACGTCTAACCTTCACATCGCGGGGTTCAATCTTCTCTGTACCGCGGAACGGTCGGAAGGTACAGCTAGAAGCCATGGAAGTCTTCCCGAGCGGTGGGGTCGATAGCAATTTTGCAATCCCCCATCCCTGTTCTCCAGCTCCCGTGCCTCTCAGTAACACGCACACGGGCACCTTTTCTGAAACGTGGGCACTCGTCGATTCCATAAATCCTTTTTCATGTTAACTTATGTTCAGAACTTTTCTTCTTCGAAGAAGTATTTCGTTCATGAACCAACGTCAGTAAATTTTAGGCCATTAGGTGGCCGAAACGGAGTATCTACGTGGGAAATGACCAGTCAAACGTTTGAGCCTTTAAGGAAGAATAGGGGCGGGACGGTTTAAGGTCATTTTTATATTTTACAAAAGACCCACACCACTTTTAAAAAGCTATGCTGTTGGATAAAAACTCAGGTCTGGGAAATAAAAATGCTTTACTTATTTTAGCAATGGCAATGTCATTGCGCCTGGCACCTGCCAGGAAAATTGATCCAAAATTGTTACCAGGTTTATGTCGGAGAAACATACATTCTACAAATTTTGCAATAAAGCCAACGCTCGACATCGCAGTTCTTGGTTTTTTGGTGAACGTTTTCATTCTCGTACATTCCGAAGAACGTCAGCAAACCACCCTCCTCGACGAAAAAAGTTAAAACACACTCATGCCCACGATGACAACCCCCCCCCTCCCTCCACGCACATCTGCGGAATCAAACGGCTAATGACTGCGTCGCCCGCACCTGTAGGTCACAGTGAGGTTGAACAAGTGCCGCGTGGCCTCCGTGAACTTGGCGGTCGTATGCGGCGGGCTCTCCAGCATGAAGAACACCCAGAGCTGGTCCGGATGGCGCCAGGAGGGCAGGTCGAGGTCGCTGAACTCCATCGGGTGAAACACGACGGCCGAGGCGCGCTCCAGGTACGAGCGCTGATTGGTCGTGACGCAGTCCGACACCTGTCGACGGGCACGCGGCGTCAGACGATGCCAGAGCCATCTAGCGTCGACACCTGGCGCGCATTCCCCAATGCCGAACGCCGTCCACAAGTTGCAACCTGTAACGTCACGGGTCAGTGGGTCACAGCAGTGCCTGCTGGTTGTAGCGTAGTCAATCGTGTGTGACGCGGGGACTTGTGACGTCATAGGTAGCAAACTCAGGTAGATATGTAGTGGGTCAATGGGTAACGTGACCCTGGTTGTCGGCACGCGGCGTCAGGTAGTGACAAAACCATCCAGCGGGACACGTGGAGCGATCTAAGTTTACCATACCGGGCAGCAGAGGTGGGAAGTGGCCCCTAAAATCGGCAGCTTTGATCTGGCCTTACTTTTTGGAACATTAATTTTTTTTGTTTGAAATAAACGGAGCAAACAAGGGGAACATCCCCAAAACACGGTTAGGGCCAATCATTTGTCACCCGTGCCTCCACACGTATCTCCAATTTCACTGATTGCAATCCACACAATCACTGATTGCAACTGCATTGATTGATTACAATAACCCGCTGATGCAATTGCAATCAGCGGGCAATGGCAGATCAAAACGCTGAGACAAAAGACGCGGGGGCCGTCCTGTGAAGATGCACCAACACAGTGCATCACAACCAGACCCATTCGTCAATCGCACCTCCTTCAGACACCCGACAAAATTACACGACGCAGTGTCGTCCAGGCGCCGGGCGGGCGGCCCCACTGGACGGCGTCCTGCTCGATGTTGTTGACTCGGGCGACGCGAGGCGGCGTCGGCGCTGCCCGACCCCGCGGGCTATCGATCGAGCGTGCCCCGGCCGGGACTGGCGATCCTGCGTTGCTGGGGGTTCGCGAGCACAAGAGGAGGGCGCCGCCAACAGGATGCGGCCCGGCTCAGCAAGCACGCGATGGTGTCGGCAGGTCGAATGGTGTCGGCAGATAGTGTCGGCAGATAGTGTCGGCAGAAAAAGTCGCCAGGTCTGTGTCAGATAGTGTCGGCAGAAAGCGTCGTCAGGTCCGTGTCAGATAGTGTCGGCGGATAGTGTCGGCAGGTCTGTGTCGGATAGTGTCGGTAGGTAGTGGCGGCGGGTCTGTGTTCAATGGTGTCGGCATATAGTGTCTGCAAGTCTCTGTCGGGTAGTGTCGGTAAGTAATGTCGGCAGGTCCATGTCGGATAGTGTCGGCAGATAGTATCGGCGTGTCCGTGTCGGAAAGTGTCGGCAGATAGTGTCGGCATGCCTGCGGTCTTGAGTGTTCTCCCGAGGGACTGCAAGTGGACGGCTTAAGGCTCCGATGACACGCTGTATAGAGTGTCACGTTATACCTTTTATGTAATAGGTTGTTGTGTGGTGGCTTTGCATTCCAGCTACAGTCCTGTAGTTAAGTACAATAAGATAACATTTCAACTACGTAAGTTGTTTAGTGCATTTGCGAGGAACATTTTTCCCAAGGATAAGACAGTAGTAATAGCCTTATTCCTCAGAGAAAAATCAGGAGAATGGAGATATCGATGGGTTGGTATTTCGGCAACATGCCGTTATCAAAACAATAGCAGAAGTCAATTCCAAGTGAATTTCAATCGCCTTGTTTTTATTGAACGGGAGCTTTCAGGATCATTGGTATCTCCATACAGCCTTGGTCAGACAATGATGCGAAGAACAGGTGCAGGCATGCATTAAAAAAAACCTAAAAAGTCACATCCAATGTAATATACAGTCCCTCTGAGGCAACAAACGTAAAATACATTACTGGTTTTATGTTTCAGCCGCAAACCAATGACACAAGCTCTTGACAAAAGCACATGTACATCAAAGTTTTGCATTATTTGTCCATGGCTGAAGTGTAAAACCGGTCATCTATTTCACTTTCGTTGCATCAGAGGAATGGACATGTTACATGGCATGCGGCTTTTTTCTTGAGCTGTTGTTTACATTTTTAAAATTTGCCTGGATCTGTCGTGTATATCATTGTCTGGTCAAAGCTAAAGAAAGGATAGCAATTAAGACGCGGTCAGGTGGGGGGGCAAATTAACTCCCCCCTCGAAAGTTTTTCCAAAATGGTTTCCGAACGGCGTAGCGTGGCCGCGCCAAATTTTGCGTAGCTGTGACAATTGAGTAGCGGATCGTCTGCCATAAGATATGTAGATGTACCTTATAAGGTCGCCAACCCAAAGCAGATCAAAATCAGGCCATGGCTTCAGCAAAGGCAATTTCTAGCAAATCGTTCAATCTGATCCAACAACAGAGTGTTAGACGGAGCCATACATCTCTGAGATACTTTCTTAGGCAACAGAAAAATTGAATGGGCAACTTGCATCGACCTAAGGTCAGGTATGAATGTCAGACCAGGGTCAAAACCAGCCTTTTTGTTACTCTAGCGCTTGCTGAAGGAAGATAGTTCCTGGTGCTTATTTTGAATTTATCGATGACAGGAACCGCATTATACATCCTCCATAGATTTCTTAAAGGTCAGAATAGATCACTGACCTAGAATGACCCAGGTCAGCATTTTTCAGGAATATACTGCCTAGAGTAGTATTTGTTGCTTATCCAAAAGCGAAACTCAAAGCGGTCTTGCATGATTTTGGTCATTATGACTTTCAAAAGGTCAAACAACGTCACCGAGCTTAGATGAGCATGTGGCCTTTTGCTTAGAACAGTTATCTAGGTTATAAGGACACTTTAAAGACCAACCTGAAATTTGGCGTTGTTTGACCTTGTTTGACCAGAAGGTCAGGACCTGGGAACCTTAAACTTTGACCTAGGTGAGTTAAGGTGCAGGTCAAGACACCCTGTGCATTTGGTGTCTCTGGCTCCCTTTGTTCCTGCGATCTCAGGGGGATCATATTGACCCCACCCGAGCGAAGGGTATCCAACCGGTCACTCAGGCGCGTGTTAACCCATAACCTTTCGTTCGATTAAAGAAGGTTGTTTAGACACGGTGTGATTAACATCTACTATGACGCAGGTAAATAATATTTCCAGTCATGTCACGTATGCAAGGCCTGAATAAGTGAGGTTTCAAGTTAACAGCTGGCTACCGGTGAAAGTGGGCCGCAAATTCACCATCATCATGCCATCAGCACGGAAACACAGACGTGCTGCATCATGACCGTGCCGTGTCAGGTCAGATCCGCCTTGGCCCGTTGCCAAGTGGCCTACTGCTTTGCAGAGGGCAGCCCGCCGTGGTGGAGACGGTGTGTCCGACACGGAAAGCCCCACCTAGTCGAGCTCCCTACTCAGTCTCGACCGGCTGCTTCAGCGGTCACCGCTGGCATTGTTGTGGTGTTAGCTTCGATGCATGTACTGCTTAACGCGTGTAGTAGAGGACCGTGGGGGGGGGGGGGCAAATCAGTAAGGGAATGCTCCTGGCAATACAGGTGACCTTTAAATTGTTTTTCTATAAGATGCCATGCTAAGCTCATGCTGGGTCACCGAAGTCAATTCGGGTGGAATTCCAGCAACTTCAATGTAAGTTGTCAACAATTAGCGCCTATTTGCAAAATTCGTGAAAACTTGCGGTTTTCCCTTCAGGATGCACATTTCATTGTACGCATCATAGCGTGTTGACTTACAAGCGCCCTGAGGTTATGCGGTACATGGAACAATTTGACTGTGTCGCATGTGAAGTCAACAATAAAGCCTGGTCTTTTTTCCACACATTCAAGCACCATCAATGCGGATAACAATGATGATAAACTAAGTCACGTCAAATGAAGTGACCTCATTTGATGTTAGACATATTGCCCCTAGAGTCGCTAGCCTTCCGCTGGAAGTTAGTGATGTGACAGCACATAGCTTCACATAACACCCACCTAACCCGCAAGTTGTGTTACTCTACATCCTACGATTGTCGAAATGACAGGGAAAGGGGCGAGATCCCCATCCCCCTCTCCACCGCTTGCAATTTTCAGAGCCCCCCCCCCCCCCGCCCCCACTGAGCGTGCTAAATCAGCCCAGCTCTTTCACCGCTTTCACCGTTTTCAGTGTTTCGTTTCACCATTCACCAGCTCTTCACCGTTCGGCCCGGCGCCCAGTTCTCGCGAAAGTGCTTATGTCTAGTCCAGCCCTTTGTCGGCGTAACGGCAGCACACACTCCGTCATCCGTTCTGCTGGCGAAACCGAGCCGTGAGGTCACCTTTATCGCGTCGGTGGCGCAGAAACGCCGCGTCATGACAACGTGCCAGGTTGAGCTCGCCCTGGTCCGCGAGCCTGCAGCTCGCACCGCGTGTTTAAGTGGCTCACGTGCTGTCCAGACGGCACGCGAAGCCGGCGAACGGCAGACCCCCGCTCATTCTCGGAAGTCGCCAATAGCACAGATTGTCAGTGGCGGGCAAGGCGTACGATCGATAGCCTTACGATCTGTTTAACTACTATGCTTAGCAACACGCCAACTTACTGTAACGATAAGCGATAAACCTTAAAAAAGATAGCGGAAGCAAGCGACAGCATTTGACCGCTTACTTTTACAGGATCAGTTTAGTTTTGGTCAGAGCTTTGGTTGTACAATAGGCGCTTCATGAATTCCGTCATTTAATAATGTGTTGATGAGTGATAAATATAGCCGATTTGTGCGCATTTACGCCGCATGTTTTCTCGGAGACTGTTGGTCCAGTGCCATCATGGCTCCAGGTGCCGTGCTTGTGCACTTCATGGTACTGAACTGAGCTGCAACATCACAAAATTCTACTCAGCTACTGCTGCGTAGACCGATCTTGCCTTGCAATGACGCGTGGTCAACCAGCAGCGTGACAGGCAACGTTCGTTAATAATAATTTTATGGCTTACACACGTTTTTGATCCGTGGCCTTTATGTACGGTGCTGGGGAAATAATGTTAGCGGACGTAGAACTACCGCAGCCACACATAGCGGAAGCTAATTGCTTCGTGAGCGGTTCTCGCTAGGTGAGCAGGAACGCTAGGCCCCTGTCGAAAGATTCAGCTTCGCTAATTCTTGGTCAGCGGATTGGCGACATAATGCCTTTTTCTGCTGAATGGCATGACATGGGATGGGATACTGACGAAGCATTAAGCAGCGCACATGCATTTCCACTAGAGCCTGCCGCGATGGCGCTGTCTGACCATAGTCATGTGGGCCGTCGCAGCACATGCGGTCTGTACGCGTCATCTGGCCAGCGGCGATGCCGGACGAGCTAGAATGGCGAAACAACCTCAACCGTCCCCACAACCATGACAACTGGCGAGGTTCGTGTTCACCGGCCAGGAACACCGAGCAAGAACGGCTGCGCATTCACCACACGGCTGAGCTGAAGACGACGAGTTGCCTAGTACAGTCAGCCACGCCGACATAAACACACGTTTAGCAGCAGTGAACGGTCTCATGTCACGTGCTTTGCCGAGCGGTACACTTACACCTGGCAACAACTGTCGATTCCATGGACAGACGTGGGGGAGGAGGCGGCTGCCCAAAGCCAGCGCGTTTATACCTAACATATAGCCATACCTAGCTACATTTACCTAGTGACCATTACCAGTAGTGCCCTACGCTGGTTTACGTCTATGGCATCCCAGCGCCGTAGCCATTTCTGACGTGCAAATCTGGGAAGGACTGAGTATGAGTGACCGGCAGTCAGCGACAACAACCGTGTGCACTGCGCCCGACATTGCCACAGGGGCGCAAGCGGGATTTTCTTAAGGGAGGGGCCCTGAGCTCAGTGAGACGCACCACGCCAATTTTGAGCCTGCTGTAGGGAGCCCTCAATGGGGAAAAACGACGAATCCGGGGTCTTAGGGGGGGGGGGGGGCTGGTCCCGGGATCCCTCCCTTAGCTGCGTCCCTGATAACCACTGCATGTTTAGACGCGGCGTTTGCAAGGTTATTCCACTGAATCTCTGTCTGGGTCGGTATAAGAGACCCAACTTTTCAGCCCGGTAACCCGCCATCTGCCCCCCCCCCCCCCCCATGAACCCGCGGACTTTTGGCCGGGTCGTGGCCCAGACTTGGCGGGCTTTTGCTCGTCAAAATACTTAACAAGCAAAATGTTTGTTTTCTTATTCCCTAAGTTTTACAACCATGAAAAGATCTCGGCGAGCTGCCAAACACGATACCGTTATGAATAATTTTATATGATTTTCTGGCAAGGGCCCAGTGACGGATAACCCATGGCAGATTTAATAAACCAGTAAACCAGACTGCACAAAGTGAACAACTTAAAGTAAGTTTCTCAATGAGAAGCTCATTAATAACAATCTAAATTCTCAAAGTTTGGCAGGATTTCATTGAGCAATCAGATGAATACTGATATAAACGCAGCTGCGTACTGCGCTGGGATGCTACTGTGAAGGTGAGTGGCATTTAAGTTTTCTTTTTTATGCTTGACCATACCTCACAAATATTACCGTCATGCCTTTCATTGCCTTAATCCTCGCTCATCTGTCAATACAGTCCGCGGTTACTGATGTATGGATGCGCAAGTGGTCGAAATAGAAACAGGTCTGGGTGATGAGGCAGAGTTTGCCTTTTTGAACCTGAAGGACATGCAATTTATGACCGAAATAGCAGCGGCTTTTACGTACAATACGTTTCACACCCACTGCGATTGTCATCAGTTTTTAAATATGTCTCATTAAGGTTTTGTCCTGCTTGCTTTTTCATCACTTCCAATATCTGTACTTGTATATAAGCCTGTGTAAAAAATTCCAGTTCAACACATTACGTCAACCACACACGCCGCATGATTAAAAACTGAAGTCAGCAAGGTATGTCAAATTTACATGGAGATCCTGGACATAATTTGCTCAATTTTCGTTTTCGTAGAAATTTTACTTGAACATTTCATAAAATTGCACAGCTTGTTATGGTGGCGCTAAGTCTGTATGATGTCTTTGCCTTATGTCTTATGTCTTAAAATGTTCCATTCTACTCTAAATGTTCCATTCCATTCTAAAATGTTCCATGATGTCTTAAAATATTCCATTCTACAAGCGAATGAAGTCACAGCAACATGCCTTGCCACTCAAATTAGCCTGAAATATCGCGTGGCGCCTACAAGAGAATCTGATAGCCAACACCGTGCGTGACTCGCAGCAGTTTTGGGACCCCATAACCTGAATCTGACAAACCATGTCCGTTTCAACCCGGCACAGCAAGCCCATTTCGAGGTCCATGGTCTACTAGAGGTCGTCTATTCTGCTTGTGGATATCTTGGCTGCCCCAGAACGCCTTGAACATTTCAGCCCACAACATACCAAGAAGCCCTAGAAGTTCTATACCACCCGCGGACCAGGGGTGCAAAAGCGTGCCAAAAGAGGGGGAGAGGAGGAGGGAGCTCTCTTTTAAAGCCAGTCCCTTCCGTGCATCACCGTAGGGCCAGTTATCGACTGGCACGAAATGAAGCCGTTGTACACATATTGCACGCAATACATTGAACCCCTCTCCTCCACCTCTGTCACCCTTCTTGTCAATCTATTGATCCTGACTATGTTGGAGGACCTCGACTATTTCAGACCCCGTGACCACACATTGGCCCTTCCACAATGCTGGAGCTCCTCCGGTGACCTGGCTCCATGGCCAGCTAGAAGCCTCGTGTGTGGGGTCTTTGCCAATTTCGATGTTACAAATACGGTTGGTTCGTTTGGCCGTTCCAATAATTTTTATCAACCCACGTGCCTTCAAACGTCTCAGGACACGTTTTATTCCGGGATGCGTGCTAAAGGAGCTCGCTGGAGGCCTGTGCGAGCGGCTTTCTCCGTGAGCGGTCCCCACAAGACGCTTAATGACGTGCCCCGGTCGTCGGCGGTCACTCACCTGGCACTTTATGACGTGCCCCCGGTGGTCGGCGGTCACTCACCAGGCACTTAATGACGTGCCCTGGTCGGCGGTCACTCACCTGACACTTAATGACGTGGCCCGGTGTCGGCGGTCACTCACCAGGCACTTAATGACGTGGCCCGGTGGTCAGCAGTCACTCACCAGGCACTTTGACGTGGCCCGGTGGTCAGCAGTCACTCACCAGACACTTAATGACGTGGCGCCGGTGGTCAGCAGTCACTCACCAGACACTTAATGACGTGGCGCCGGTGGTCAGCAGTCACTCACCAGGCACTTAATGACGTGCCCCCGGTGGTCGGCGGTCACTCACCAGGCACTTATTGACGTGGCGCCGGTGGTCAGCAGTCACTCACCTGACACTTAATGACGTGCCCCCGGTAGTCGGCGGTCACTCACCAGACACTTAATGACGTGGCGCCGGTGGTCAGCAGTCACTCACCAGACACTTAATGACGTGCCCGGTGGTCGCAGTCACTCACCAGACACTTAATGACGTGGCGCCGGTGGTCAGCAGTCACTCACCAGACACTTAATGACGTGGCGCCGGTGGTCAGCAGTCACTCACCAGGCACTTAATGACGTGGCGCCGGTGGTCAGCAATCACTCACCAGGCACTTAATGGCGTGCTGTCGGTGGTCAGCAGTCACTCACCTGGCACTTACTGACGTGGCCCGGTGGTCCGCAGTCACTCCCAGGCACTTATGACGTGGCGCCGGTGGTCAGCAGTCACTCACCAGACCTTAATGACGTGGCGTCGGTGGTCAGCAGTCACTCACCAGACACTTAATGACGTGGCGCCGGTGGTCAGCAATCACTCACCAGGCACTTAATGACGTGCTGTCGGTGGTCAGCAGTCACTCACCTGGCACTTACTGACGTGCCCCCGATGGTCGGCGGTCACTCACCAGGCACTTAATGACGTGACGCCGGTAGTCAGCAGTTACTCACCAGGCACTTAATCGCGTGCCGTTGGTGGTTAGCAGTCATTCACCAGACACTAATTGACACGCAGCCAGCAGCCAGCAGTCACTGACTTCTCTCTGATCTGATCTTTTCCTGAGTTTCCAAATGTCCCCCTCGGTGGAACCTGCGCTCACCAGACAGCGCATGACGTGCTGTCAGAGCCAGAGGACACTCACGTGGGAGCTTCAGGAGGGCTGCCCCGGCAGGAGTGACACTCACGTGCGAGCTTCAGGAGGGCTGCCCGGGGCAGGAGTGACACTCACGTGCGAGCTTCAGCAGGGCTGCCCCGGCAGGAGTGACACTCACGTGCGAACTTCAGGAGGGCTGCCCCGGCAGGAGTGACACTCACGTGCGAGCTTTAGGAGGGCTACACGGGGCAGGAGTGACACTCACGTGCGAACTTCAGGAGGGTTGCCCGGGGCAGGAGTGACACTCACGTGGGAGCTTCAGGAGGGCTGCCCCGGCAGGAGTGACACTCACGTGCGAACTTCAGGAGGGCTGCCCGGGGCAGGAGTGACACTCACGTGGGAGCTTCAGGAGGGCTGCCCGAGGCAGGAGTGACACTCACGTGGGAGCTTCAGAAGGGCTACCCCGGGCAGGAGTGACACTCACGTGGGAGCTTCAGCAGGGTTGCCCGAGGCAGGAGTAGCACTCACCGGACAGTTTTCGAAGGGTGCTCGGCCGTAGCCTACGTTGTACTCAAGGTTACCGAAGAATGGCGTCCAGTAAACGATGACCTTGTCCTTCTCGGTGACGTGAAGCTCTGGCGCCGGCATGAACTGCAAGCAGGGACGCAACAATAGAGAATGATGCATCCGGCATATAAACACACCCGCCACGGCGGGTCAGCAGCACGGAAAAGCTTCATATAGCTTCAGCAAGCTGGAAAAAAAACACTATAATGTCTGCGGAGTGGTGACGATATTGCAATTTGTAACAGGTTGATTCTCCGCATGCTGAGTTGATCGAAATTGTTGAGAATTTGTAGACGTCTGTGCATCTAGAGGTCATGAGAGGGAACGTTCCACATTTGAAGGTATCGAAGCAAGTATCAGATGATGAAATGAGCTCACTTTTACGTACTGGTACACTTTTATGTGAAAAATGTTGTGTTAGAAATCACAATTCCTCTGTTTAGCAAATATTTTCCTCTATGCGTCATTGTCTGATCACGCTACCGTACCTCGCACGACATCGACTGAGAGCCAATTCGCGGTCATTATATCCGGAAATCGTGCTCACGAAAGCCAGATATGAAAAACTCCCCAATTATATTTTTCTTGGCCTTGATTACCGCATGGCTAATGACATGGCAGCATTTCAATGACGTTATTATGACGTAATGGATACCTAGGTTACCTGGAAATAGTCTCCCCGAATTAGTCTGCACACCGCCGTGGACGTGTAGCCCAGAAATTAGAGAAGCTTAGGTCTTTAAAAGGGCAGCTCTGCGAACTGCACTGAATGATCTTCAAGATAGCTAGTTCAGTTCAAAACCCATGCAAATGTGGAACACTCCCTTAAATAATGGCCACGATTCTCACACCAGCAATTGCATCAATGGCAGTGCGATAACCTGTCTGCGGATTCCGAGACTCAACTCCGATCACGGACCAACCGCGTCTGGGTCAGACGCAGACTACGCTGCGGTCTAACGGATTCTGCGGGCAATTCCGGCGCCGAAAATCGCTCATCGATTTCAGTTGTCCAATATGTGCTGGACCTAATCCGACGAGCCTGGCCGAGCTGGAGGCGAAGGTCTCCAGCCCGGCCAATCAACACCTGCAAATAAACCGCCTCGATTACACGCGCCGTTGTGACCGCGCGGTCCCTCAGGCAGGGAGCGCCCGTGAGGGCACAGAGCGAGGCAGTAGGCAATCAATGTGGGTCTCGCTCCGCGACCCATCCCCCACGGTCGTCCAGCTGGCTGCGCAGCACTGCCGGGAGCTTATCGGGAGTGAGCTTCAGCAGCCGCGCTGCGGTTTCGTCTGCATTTGCTGTTCCAGAGCGAAAAACCGCGCTGCGGCTTGAGAGAGAGAGAGAGAGAGAGAGAGAGAGAGAGAGAGAGAAGAGGAGAGAGAGAGAGAGAGAGAGAGAGAGAGAGAGAGAGAGAGAGAGAGATAGAGAGAGAGAGAGAGAGAGAGAGAGAGAGAGAGAGAGAGAGAGAGAGAGAGAGAGAGAGAGAGAGAGAGAGGAGAGAGAGAGAGAGAGAGAGAGAGAGAGAGAGAGAGAGAGAGAGAGAGAGAGAGAGAGGAGAGAGAGAGAGAGAGAGAGAGAGAGAGAGAGAGAGAGAGAGAGAGAGGAGAGGAGAGAGAGAGAGAGAGAGAGAGAGAGAGGAGAGAGAGAGAGAGAGAGGAGAGAGAGAGAGAGAGAGAGAGAGAGAGAGGAGGAGAAGGGAGGAGAGTAGAGATGAGAGAGAGAGAGAGAGAGAGAGAGGAGAGAGAGATAGGAGAGAGAGAGGAGAGAGAGAGAGAGAGAGAGAGAGAGAACAACAACTGCGTTGGCTGATGCTCGTATTTTCCTTTCGTACCCATCTTTCCACCCTTCTCTAAATTCTCCTCTTCTGTTGCCTCCCACCTCCGCCGATTAACGCACTGCTCCACCCTGGACTGGGTGGTGTAGAGGGATTCCGGCGCAGTCTCGTGGCAGTGGCTCCTTGCACCCTCTTGCACCACTTTTCCCTACTCCTTGTCGCTTCCTCCATGTTCTTCGCCACACCCTCCCCCTCCCTGCCACCTCATCCCTCCTCCCTGCCACACTCTCCTCCTCCCTGCCACGTCATCCCTCTTTCCTGCCACTCCCTCCCCTTCCCCGCCACTTCATCCCTCCTCCTGCCACTTCATCCCTCCTCCATGCCACGTCCTCGTCTTTCCTGCCACTTCATTCCTGCCAGCAGTGGATCCAAAGGTGGACACGGTCCATCTCCTTCGGCTTCGAAGGGGTCCGCAGGTTCTGAAGGGGCCCATACGCGGCCCAAAGAACGAATTTTATAACATGTGCTCGGATGTGGGTTCAAGTTGACTGCACCGAAGGCTCTCCAGGATCATTTCTGAACGGCGCGGCGTATCCACGCCAGACTTTGCTTAAATGTAAAGCATTGAATAGATATTTTTATGACCCTATGGCAGGTCAAAGTCAGGCTATGGCTGTCAGCGAAGGGCATTTCTAGGGAATCGTTCAATGATGCAACAACGGAGTGTTAGACGAAGCCATACATATATGAAATAGTTTCGTAGGCAATAAAACAATGGAATCTAGAATAACAACCAATTCCACTGCCCTTGGCTCAGGCATGAAAGCTAGAACAACGTCAAGATTAACCTGTTTTTTTCACATGAGCTTGTTATTTGGGGAGTTTCTTTATTTTTTTTCGAATTTATAAATAGCGTGGACCGCAGCAAACATGCTCCATTGACTTTTTAAGGTCAAAGTAAGGCACTGACCTAAACCGACCCCGGTCAACATTTTGTTTTTAGGAACATACCGCTAAGCGTAATCTCTGACGCTGTTCAAGTGGTAAAATAGGAGTAAGTTTGTAGATATTGGTCACCATGGCCGTATAAAGGTCAAACGAAGTAACTGACCTTCTTGACCTTTTGCTTAGAACAGGTATGTAGCATCACGGCGGTTGCATGACGAGGTCTTGGCGTACTTGAGACACCAATCTGAAGTCTGACCTTGCTTGACCTTATTTGAGCGCAAGGCCATGACTTAGGAAGCTCAAACGGTGACACAAGTGAGTTCACGCACAGGTCAATCGACCCGGTGAGTTTGACGTCCCTATCTATCTTGTTTTTTGATATGTCAGGGGTCAAATTGACCCCCACCCGAGCGAAGGATATTCAGCCGGCCACCCGGGAGCGATTGTACACAAAATGCATAAAAATGGAAGTATTTTGGCCTGCAGGTGATCAGGAACGGCTGCAAGCAAAAACAAGGACTCATGAGCAGACGGTATCAATTATTTGTTGCTTAGAGGTTGGTGTTTGCAGCCTGTAATCAAGATATATTACGCAGTCCGGGAGATTCCGCCGTTGCCGGGAACCCTACATGTCCACTTGCTGGGTCACTCTGATCGCTAAAAGGCTTTTCACGTTGCCCTTAATTTATTTTATTTGCTATGTTTTGCATTCGCTCGGCGGGTCCCATGCTATTATCGGGGCCTTCATTTCCGGGACCCACGACACGGCGATTTTTATCGGCGCCTGAGCTGCCCACGGCAGCCACCACATGTGCTCCCACTAACTTTGGCACGCTACTGCCGAAGGTAATTTTATGTGCCAGCAACGTCGCATGTTTTGTTTCTCTTGGTTGTTGACCTTGTGACACTCATTTTGCTTGTGCATCTCATTCTAAACACAGGTTGAATGCTAATATATGCTGCACTAGCCATTATTAGCCATCATGTCGTGATTATGCATTATATTAGATGATGTGATAAGCCATCACCTACTTACAACATCGATAAGGCGGCTAGCCGCCAGAAACCGGATAACCGCAACCGACCTTCGCATCAAGTGTCGTACTTGGTTTCGATGGTGTTAAGTGACCAACTTTAACTAATTTTGACATATCACATCAGAGATACTTTGCCTTCAAATGAGGGGGCCACCGCGACCTGGAGAATATGAACGCGCTCCACGGCTGCATACATTCAAACCATGCCTTGTCTCCTAGAACTGCTAATAGAAAGATGGTTGCCGTCTGAAAGAAAGTGAACAATACTCCTAAAATTGAATGGCGGAAATCCGATGATTTTTTTGGGGGGGCCCCAAATTCCAGGCGGGCCCACAATGCTATGGCTCCCTTGATGAAACCCTGAATCTGCTACCGCTCCCTTGACGAAGCCCTGGATCTTCCCCTGCTCCCTTAACGAAACTTTGGGTCTGCCCCGCTCCCTATCGCTTCTTCCCTCCTCCCTGTCGCTCCTTCTCTCCTCCTTGCCGCATCATCTCTCCTCCCTGTCGCTTTCTCCCTCCTTCCTGCCGCTCTCTCCATCCTCCCTGTCGCCTCCTCTCTCCCCCTGCCGCTCATTCCTCCCCGCCTCCCCTCCCTCCTCCCCACCGCTCCCTCCCCCTCCCAAACCGCTCCCTCCTTCCTTCCCACCACTACCTCCCTCCTCCCTACTACTCCCTCCCTCCTCCCCACCGCTCCCTCCCTCCCCCTATGGCCCTCTCCCTCCTTCCTGCCGCTTCTTTCCTCCTCTCTGCAACTCCCTGTCTCCTCCCTGCCGCTCCCTCCCTTCTTCCTGCCGCTCCCTCTCTCCTCCCTCTCGCTCCGTCCCTCCTCCCTGTCGCTCCGTCTCCCCTCTCTTCCATTCCCTCCGTCCTGTCTGTCGCTTTCTCTCTCCCCCTCTCTCCTCCCTACCGCTCTCTCTCTTTTCCCCCTATCGCTACCTCTCTCCTGCCTATCACTCTCCACCTCCTCTCTGCTGCTCCCTCTCTCCTCTCTGCTGCCCTCTCTCTCCTCCCTGCCGCTCCCTCCCTCCCTCCCCCCCCATCGCTCCCTCTCTCCTCCCTGGCGCCTCCTCCCCCTTCCCGGGCCGCCGCTCCGCGCCGGACGAGCTGCGGCACTCTGGCGCCGGCCGTACCTTCTCGTGGAAGCGGTTCCAGCCTCCCATGGCGGCGGATTGGAGCAGCCACCGCACGTCGCCGACGATGAAGAAGGCCGCCAGCGTCATCAGGCCGAGCAGTGGGAGCACCTGGCGGCGGCGGACCAGCACGCGCCGCCATGCTGTTCCGTTCGCCGTCATCCGCCGATCTGCGGGGTCACGGAGACTCAGGTCATCATGGGCACGCGGCGGCCGCCGTCCAGGTCAGGCCAGGTCAAAATGAATCAGAAGGGCCTGATCTAGACGGCTTAGGTGTTCATGTGTCGACACACTCCGTTATGTAGGTCAGGTCAGGTCAACATGGGCTAGCAGGATCCCTCATCGGAGCAGGTCAACACGAGTCGACGGAGCCTTTTGAGCTAGGTCAGGTCTCACTTGTTAGGCCAGGCCAACACAGGTCTCTTCATCTGCG